ACATAGGTAGGTACTTCGTATAATGGCTATGCCATAAGTAAAAAAATTACAAACAAAGAAACGTACAAGTGCCTACTGCGATAGAGGTTTTCGAGCTGAAAATGAAAAAAAAATCTGTTTGCAGGGAGTGGTTCTTAACACTCTTAAGTCTCAATCCCTTAACCCACGACCCACCGTCCGCTGGTATTATGCGACGAGCCGCTGATTCCATACAAATACAAATTACAATGGCTGTTATTCACGAATCACGAATAATGCACTTAAAGATGAGCGATATATATGTATGTATGTATGTATGTATGTGGGTATGTGGGTATAAATTATATAGCTGCAGCGCCAAGGCACTCGATTTCACGCGAGTTTTTAAAATCATTCGACCTAATGATTTTCCGTAAACTTATAATTATTGCGCTTACGAGTTACTACAATACACCGCCGTTCGCCACTATGTAGCGTCTTGCTCGTTTATTATAGTAACTATAAAAAATATAAATAATAACACATATTATACGAATCGCCGTGTTACGCTGGAGCCATAATATAGTATTATCGTCGTAACAAATCTAAACAATGTGATTACAATATATAAGTATAAAGTAATAAAAGTATACTGAAGAGCTCTTTTTAGACTGTAGGTACTAGTACTCATATATGTATTTAGATAAAGTACATTTCAACACTTTTGTGCATACCTATAATATATTATTATATATATGCATATTATGCCGATCTCGACTCTCAAGGTTAGTCAAATATATTGAACGTTCGACGTTGTATATAAAGCGTTTTGATAAATGATAGTGTATAAAAAATTGCATAACAACATAAATTATACATTATTTTAATAACAAAACAACAGCTATAGTAAACAATAAAGCTAGGTATTGAAAATTATACTCTTTTAAATTACGCCTCGCCGTACACTTACTTAATAATTGTGGTGATCATATAATTTCAATACCGTAATGATAGTGGTGACAGGTGGTGCGTTTTAATTTTTAGTATAACAGTATGTCCATCGTAAGTTGCAGTACACTGTACACTGTATAATGTACGAATTATATAATTATAAAAACAACTTAAACATCGATAAAAAAAAGAAACAAAACAATTTTAGTGTAAAAATATAACACTCACAGGAAACGAATATATATAATAATTGGTTTGTTCTGGTTTTTTATCGTATGTATATAGTACTGCAGTTGATCCTTATAGTATGTACCTATATTATGTTATCGCATATAAATTATAATGCACTTTACAAGTGCTGTTTTTTACAGCATAATATGATGGGAATTTTTAAAAGTGGATTTTTGTCTTCACTCAATCAAATCGTTTTTTTTTATCATAATATAAGCCTTGAGAAAAATTATCAATAGCATAATTATCAGTACCTGCATGGATATTCCATTTATTATAAATACTATAATCATACTAAAAAAAAAATATATATATATTATAATCAATGGTGTTACACACATTTAAGACCGGTTGATATTTATATAGGTACCTACGAGGCACCCATTAATACCATCCTATACTATAAGAAGAGTTCAAATATGGGTAAGCGACAATTTTTTTTTTTGATCTGTATGCATACATTTTATAGGTGTCCTATATTGTTTCTATAACATTTTAGTATACTTACACTGATTAGACTAATCGGGTTCAGAATGTTCAGATACCTTTTGATTATATAATCGGATTTATTTACATAGGTATATGTGTGTGCAGGTGACATATATAATTTAGAAATTGATTTATTTCATTTTATTTCCTGCTTGTCTTTAATTCGATAAATTGAAAAGCATTTAAAGAACATTAAATACATGAACAAAATTTCAAAGGCACGTTATCCGTTATCATAGAAGACGACCAATCGGAATGTTTCCATCAGTTTCTCACAGAATACTATTCGTTCACTGGTCCACGTAACCGTCAACGATATCTCCAAATGAGTAATAATTTTGTAAAATCTTAGGGGCAACTAAACTAATATATATAGTTGGCTGAACATTAAGCTTTTAAAAGGCCAATACTAATGCAAGTGTTGTCTCCACTCACCGCCTTGCAAACGTAAAACCATTTAATACTACCTAAGTATTTATATTATTTTTATAATCAATGGTAAAAGATATCAAATTTGAATTCAACAAATTCAATTTTATGTTTTCGGGCTTAAATATTAGAGTAAATTGACTTATTATCAAACTTAAAGGTAAGGTGCTTATAGCTAGGCGTTAAATTTTTTTTATATTTTAATTTTTAAGCGAGATATAAGCAACGAACAACAAGCATTTCAAATGTATGGTATAAAAGAAAAATATCAGAAAAATGCACTCATAAAGTACATTAAGCACAGATTATGTTCTTATTTTTAAGTTTGATCATGAGTCAATTCAGCTATAATATAAGCTAACAACACACAATTGGTTCTGCTCAAAATTTAAAACGTTTTACGTTTGTAAAACGGAGACAATACATACATAGATAGCGTCTTCTTAAATATATCCTAGATGTAATCTATTATTATCTATAAAACTACTGTTCGCCGGATACGTGATAGGAGGTGACACGCGTAAGTCCGAACGACTATTAAATGTTCTAATAAATAATAATGTACATTGACTTTTTTTTACGCTGAATGAACGTATAGTTTTTCTAATTTTTCGTGCGACTCTTAAATTGTATTAAACCGTTTATGGATTGCAAATTATATAATTATTAATTATATATATTATATATTATAATTATTATTTTCTATATACCAAATAACTTGTCGCAACACTTCTCTCAGCCGGCTCCTCCGCCGTGGAATGCAGGCACCTCAACCTGAGTGTACGTTATGATCAAAATGATGTTATTATGAGGTATGTTAAAATTGTTTTTGTAATTCATCAATTGTCTGCAATAAATCCATACAGCCATACTGCCATACAGGTGAGTATAATATGGTATGCAGCCTCTTTGTAATACTTTAAGGTTCATCCGATTAGTTGGTGGTTACTATGGTTATAATGGTCACTGCCGATAGAACACAAATTACGTGACATTTTATGTTCATGAAATTAAGTATAGATTTAGAAACTAGCACAACCATGCTTTTTTTCCACGCAGTTCACCCTTTATAAATGCTTTACAATTACACCCTATCAGTTTTTATTATAAAATCCAAAATCCACCAGTTTTGTGAATCACAAGAAACCATAAACATTGTGAAAGCCCCGAGTACCTTCACAATTCCGGGTAACTATAAAAAGAGATAAATATCCTAAAGTCAATTACTTTAGAGAGGCCATTCATCCCAGATTTTCTGGGGTGTTAGTGGTATTACTGTTTTGACCATTAACCAAATGTCCCGGAATTTAACTTGAGTAAAATAGATTTTTATTTTTTTTTATGATACCTAAATGTTTATCGAACATTTTTTTTACAGTAAAGCACAATAATCACACATATAAACGCATATGATAAAATTATCACATAAAAAACGGTAAAATTAAGTAAAATAATTTTTAAGTCAAGTTAGATTTGTTGTCCTGAATTACATAAAACATTATAAATGGCCACCCTATATATTGTACTTATCCTCACACGATCGCAGTCATTCAGTCAGCTCATTGTGAAACCCCAAAAAATATTTGAGGGTCTCATACTTTTCTCTCTCTGCTAACTTATTTCTACTGCGCACATATTTACTTCCCCAGGCATGCCACCATGTTTTTCGTGACATTGCCATGGTTACAATCAGGTCTTAATTTACTCCTTTAAATTTTCCCTATACAAACCCATTTAAGTTTCACTTGTAAGATATTTCAATTATTTCATTGTCCTTTCTTTTCTTAAGTTGTTCAGTGTTCACTATAGGTATCGTTTTTTTTTAGTATACCTGCCTCTTCTTGCAGAGTTATACTTCTTCCTACTATTTTAATGATTTCTTTTATTAATGAATCTGAGATTATTTTTTTGTAATTTGTATGTTATTACTAATTGTACGTACATTGAATCTATTCTAAAAAAAGTAAATCGTAGAGTTAAAATAATATTTAAATTAGCAATTTTTAAAATTAAAATTAAAATTAAATACGATTGTTGTTAGTACAATTAACATTTTGTTTTATTAGTAGTTTGTACCTATTTTTATTTATAAAAGGTAAGAAAAAAAGACGATACCTATGTATAATAACGTAACAACACATTGTCAATGTTTTTGTATTAAATATCATAATATTATATTCGCCGTACAGTCTACTGTGCAATACATTCATCATTACGCCACAGATGTATTTAAAATCGAAAGAATTACCGCTGCCTCGCAAAAAAAAATAAAAAATATGGAGGTAAAAGCCATGATATTTCGAAGCGGTTTACCTACATTGCCTAACCGATGGTTTTAGCGGCGTGGCGCATTCGGCTCCTCACTCCAATTTGTCCAATCCAATCACTGCAGCAGCACAATATACAACAACGGGTATATTTGCGGGATAACGCGGATGTCAGCCGATGCGTATTACGAGGATGAAGAGGCGGCGGGCGGCGGTTGCGAATTATATTATGTAATGTAATAATATAAACTAAAACCAATTTGTGTTGTTTGGCCGAGTTGAATTCGCGCAAGCGTTGTACTCGCAGTCCGCAGGCCGCAGGGACGGCACCGGCGCAGAGGTCGCGTAATTAAGTTCAATTGACGGTCCGCGAGCGCGGGTGTATAATATTATAATAATTGACGACCGCGGACGGAAATGTCCAATAATAACAATATATACAGAAAAAAACCTAGGAATTGTAACGGACATTTTTTTTTTTTAACGGTGACCTCCTATAATTCTTCATAATAGTATGTAGTAACAAACAATAAATAACGTTATTTATAAGTATTTAATATATAATATTGATACAGATGTAAAAATTAATACAATGTTTTTTGTTATATTAAAAAACCACGCAAAACGATCACGATGTTTATGTTATAATGTATTATTATAGTGGTGTCTGATATATTAATCATATAAATTTTAGATTTTTGGTAAGATATACGTGGTCACGTGTACAAGATCATGGTAGTCGACATCGTGACAAGTACAATATACATACATGGTTTATAGGTAATACTCGTTTACGGGTGGGGAACATTCGTGTAAAGTACAGTGGCGCCCGTCGACTTTTTAGACGTTTAAATCGTTCCTAAATGACTCCTCGAGCGTCTGTTGGTGTGCCGTTGTACCTTCTTCGTACGGTAGCTGTTGTTGCAATGGCGGCAGTCCTCCCGCGATCGCCATCGAATTGACCATTGGTATTGGTTCCTGCTGCTGATTGACGGCCGGATTTTCGGTCTGCTAATGATCGTATAAACAAACAAATCAAAAATTTAGAACGTTTTGAAGTCAAGTGGGACAAAACAGTCGAAAGATAAGTCTTGTTATTATAATATTATCATTTTTATATTCCAATTGATTGATTCCAACCGGCAACGCATAGGACATCAAATATTATATTAATTCGTCCGATGTGATCGATCAATAACAGTTAGAGATTATACATAAATCTACATACGGTCATTTATAAAAGCATACAAATATATTCAAGTTTTCAACGAATTTTGATAGAACGTCTGTTATCGATTTATTTGAAAACGACAAAATTAAGCGAGTATTAAAACTGTAATTACATCATAATGTTAAGCATGGCATATTGCATATGTTGAAATGAATATAATTTAAATTGATCATTGTAATGATTTTATTTAAAACAAACATTGTCTTATCTTAAAAAAATGTGAATCTATTGGTGTGTTTATGTAATATATTTTCGTATAAAAGAAGCAAAAGTAATATGTACATATAATTATGTATAGGTACTGCGTGTGATGTACCTACATAGTCATACACTATATGATATATTATATTTCTATAATTCATAATTGGTGTAGGTACAATGTACATAAATATTATAAGTTTCTTAAGTTGATTGTTTTTCATAAATATAATATTAATTTATAAAGCAATATATCAGTGACACGGAGTATATTATTAACTGTATTTAGGTAAACAATTTAACATGCATGATACGTACGAGAGGAGTATTCTAACTTGACAATAATACTTCGTATCATAGTTTCATGAAAAGTGGGGAGAGGGACAGGAAAGGATGCGATTGGAACCTCAACCACTAATAGAAAAAACTTTAAATTTAAATAAGCTCCTATTATTCATTGAAAAACTTAGATACAAAATTCAAATTTTGACTAATAATGGGTATAGGTATATGCGATGTCACATGCGCAAGGTGATGTACTGATGTATAAGTTTACTTTTTTATCTTTGAAAAAAAAGCAATAATAAAAATAAAAACCCTACATCTGTGCTTCTGCACGTTACCCCAAAGGCGCAACTGGGCTGACATTTTAGGGAGGGGGAGCTAAATGTACCAAACACGAAATTCTGAGATTCATTATTTTTCTTTTTCATCTGGGAAGGCTATGGAAATAACATATATAATAGGTAAATATAGTTATTAATTATAGTTGATTTTATATATTGAACATGTATTATGTACACATTCCAAAGCGATACGACCTTTGTAAAAAGAGAACACAGTACGGTGATAACCACATAAAAAGTAAAAAATATAGAACGAGAATAATATTCGTCATTCGTATTTAATAACTTAGATACATAACCTATAATATTAATATGGTTGTATATACAACTAATAAATATGATGGGTATTTATTTTAAGAAAAAACTATTATAGTACTGCGACCCAGCAGGAGTTTATAAGTAAGCATCAAATCATATTATGTTTGATTCGCATAACACACGTACAATTTTCAATACTATATTATTCGTGTGGCTATATTGTTAGATATATCTATATACTATATAGAATTTAATTTGTTCGGATATGTTTGAATTTTTAGAAAAAAAAATAATTCAAGACATGAAATTATTAAAATATAAATTGTTGTTATAAATAAAACCTATCTAGTACTTTATTTTATTTTTGAAAATGTAAAGCCGGTATAAAAACAACAAAATTAAAGTTTTTAAAAACAATTTAAATAGTCCTGTCCTAAGATGGGAACGTTGAGTTTTTGTTTAATATTTTACTATGTATAGTAGGTACTAGCTGGTATAAAAAATGTATTTTAAAAGGTAGCACACCTACATTTAAAAAAACATAAAAATAGACTAAAAGTAAATGTTAAACGTTAAAAAAAATCATCCTGTATTTTGTATATTTTATGGCTCAGCTTTATAACACATGCCTGTGCATTTCAAGAGACTAATAATAATAAACGAAGTAAAATTACATTGAATCGATAAAAAACAATACCCGTGACTGACATATTAGGGTGGGACATTGGGTTATCACGTTTTTGAGTTCTTCCATAAGGTGCTAAAGGAAAACACAACCTCAAATACGCAATGTATAAGTTAAGTGTGTGTATGCGTGTGAATAAAAATAAATTATGATTGAATATCAAACAAAAAATGGTATAAACCGGATAGAAACCGATTTGGTTTTCGCCCAAATCTGATAAATATGTCTTTTACTTCATACAATACCTTCAAATAATCTGGTAATCATACGATTTGTGAGAAACATTTTTAGATTCTAGGCGGAGTCAAAAATGTATTGATTTTACAATGAAGTATAATTATTTTTTTTTATTTTTTAGAAAAGTAAATCTAGTTACTACTTATAATAACGGGGTAATTAAAAGAAAAGTCTTAATTGGAATAACGAAAAAACAACAATTTTTGACAAAATGTATTTTCTTATTTTATTGTAATTCAATCACGAATTACTAATTCTGTTGGTACCTACTTTAAATTTTTAAAAAATGCAAGCCTTCAACTACAATTCCACATTGATACTCTTTCCCAATGGTTCACTAAATGGAAAATTAAAGTCAACGAATCGAAGTCTTCCTTCGTCACATTTGCTCTCAGGCCCCATAACTGCCCTCCTATATCAATGAATAACACCATTATTCCTCACTCAAACGAAGTGAAATACCTCGGCTTAATATTCGACAGACGTCTCACATGGTCTTCTCATCTAAAAGACAAACGTAAAAAGCTAAACTCAAGACTTCATCTGCTAAGGCCACTCCTACGCTCAAATCTAGCACTACCACTTAAACTCATACTATATAAAACTCTTCTGCAACCTCTCTGGGTGTATGGGGTAGTAATCTGGGGTTCTGCTAAACAATCTAATAAGAGAACTATCCAAGCCTTCCAGAATATCTGCTGTCGTTTAATAACTGGAGCACCCTGGTATATCTCCAACAATGCAATTAACTCCGACCTAAGAATCTGCTCTGTTAACGAAACTGCTACCATATACTACAAACGCTTCCACGCAAAACTCCAATCCAACTCCAACCAGCTCATCAGAGACCTTGCTACACCAGCACTACCCGGAAATCCAACCAGACGACTCAAGCGGAACTGGTGCCGCGACTTAAAAATTTTATAAATTGTTTAAATTAAATGTTATTGTATAAATTGTAAATGTTATTGTAAAGCCACTAGGTGTCCCTAATGAGGGATTTCCTACCTTGTCATTAGTTCATAGTTTTTCTTTCACTCACCATAATTATTACTTATTGTACACCCCTGTATAGATTGTAATATTCAAAATAAAGTCATTTTTATAAAAAAAAAAAATGTTTTTATTAGCATTCTGCACGTATGGTAAAATTTTTAAAATACTTTGACTTAAGACTCTTTTTTTCTATGCAAGCAAAAAATATTCGTTCAGTTAAAAAAACTAGAAAATGTAGAACAAGATTCCTCATATAAGTTGTTATCATAGCTATTTAAAAAAGATACATGGACGCGATTTTTTATACATTATCAAAACCCCGAAAATTTGAAAATTATTTATAGTTACAAATGTATACAATTTTCAGTCTTCATAGCTAAGTGTTGAACATTTAATACACGGTTTTTCATAAGCAGTAAGTTCATACCAGTACCAAAAAATCTAAAAAAATATATATACACGATTTTTTTATGGATATTTAAAGGTTAAATTTGGATGAAATAAGGCAATTAAGCGAAGAATATGAATTTAAGATATTTTGTTGTAAATCAAAATCATTATTGTGTGGGTAGATTTAATACGTTTATCGTGTATTGTTATATTTTATATGTATAATATAGTTACATTTTCAGAAAAAAATCAAATCAACCTACTATATTTTCATTATAGTAAGATAAATTTATTTAATATTAATGTATCATAAAATATAGGTACTTAGTTATATAGGATGCAGACATACCGCCTTTGCTAATAATCATTTTTCGCAATGATTTATCATAGAATTCAGTTTTAACACATACATAATCACAATGATTTACTGGACATCTATTGTACCTACAGTAGAACAGTAACCTACTTTTCCCCTTTTTTAGTTTATATTTCAACATCAAATTTCAATGTTAATTGATGTTGATGTCAATGTGTTCTCTGATTCTGAATATAAATTATTACTAATGAGTCGTACGATGCGTACATAATTCAATTAGAAAGTTTACTAATACTGCTAAAATTATATGTAATCGAAATGGTTAGGTAGGTAAATGAAAATTTTTTTTATGTATAATTTAACCGTAATAGCAGCTCTGAAACAGATTTTATGTATACCCACCTAAAATACTTAATTTTTGTCAATCGTTATGATTAGTATGCTTTTACCGATAAATATCTCTATAACAGATGTTATGTTTTCAACAGCTAAGCCTTTGATCGTAATTGATAAGAAGTGAAACTACACACGGGTTTTTTTTTGGTGTAATTAATTTAATTTGTATATATACGCAAATTTGGATTTTTGAAAACTGAAGCGAGTGTCCTATAGATACATTTTTAAGGTACAGACTTTGAAGTCTTTATACATTATATTCGGTACAGATAATATCTTTAGCAGAAAAAAAAGTAATTTTGTTCCTAAGTATAATTACAGGGCTATACATATTACTCAACTGAAAACTACTGATGAAAACCTTTTTAAGTAAATTATAGATTATGAGAGGAATAAGGAAAATATACAAAACAAAAACAGTCATTAAATGTTTTGTTGATTATTTATTGGCCATTGCTCATTGCTATCGTAACATTAGGAACATGAACAAAATATTCATAATATGACACAAAAACCTATAGGTAGTGCCTCATTTATTTTATCTATTCGCTAGTTATCATGGATACTTATCGCGAACAGTAATACATTTTACCCTGAGTTGTCTATATTTTAAGAGTGGCTATAGTTTGGAGTTTGGACTAGGGTCTAGACTCAAGGGTTTTTAGACGTCCCAGTGTC